TCCCGCGGGGGCGGGCCGCCCGCGGCTGCTGCCTGTGCTGCAGGCAGGGGTAAGTGCTGCCTGCTCCCCGCCTGGCTGCTGCCAGGGAAGCTGGATCCTGCACCCGCTGGAGAAGCCTTGCCATGACATGATCCTGCGTCTCCCCAGCTCCTGGGAGCCTCCTCTCCTCCTCCCTTGTAAGAGGGATAGGTTTTGTAGTGTGACCTGGGGAAACGCCCGGCCCTCGGCCTCCACTGCCCTGCATGCAGTGCAGTGGGGTTAAGGGCTCTGCCCTCTTTACCAGAGCTGCGTGCGCTGCAGACTGGGCAGGGAACGGTGATCCTCCCGGTGCTTTGGGGGGACAAGGGGGAGAGCCCTGGCACACAGGGCACCCTTTATAGCCCCCTGGATTCTGTGGCTGGTGCAGCTGTGGAGGGTGCAGGATTAACTCACCCCTGGGAGAGGGAAGGGCTGGCACTACTGGGAGGGAAGCCTCCAAAAAGACATTTGTGAAGCACAGGTAATGTAGATTGTTTCTCAGCCCTAAAAGGAGACAAGGTGAGAATAGGACGCTGTTTGAAGTGTGGAGACAGACTCTCTGAAGAGAGAGCAATGGTCCTAGCTCACATCTGATTCCTTTGCTGCTGTGCATCGTCAAGGGAGCAGATTTTAGGGGATTCAATAAAGCAGAGACTTCTCCATCCCTGGCTGCTCGGTCCTGTCTTGACTGAGGTTCCACTTAGCTTTCAAAAAGCAGCTAATTCTTCAGTGCTGAGACAGCCTCAAGACAGCAGCTACAGGAACAGAAAGGGGGTGGAGGTGCCAGGGGCTTGATGACTATTCTTATGCACCGAGTCCATCTTTCATGGAATATAAATAGACCACTACTCGCCCAAGGTTTTTCCTCTTGGTCACTATGCTCAGCCAGTGCTTCTGAAGGGAGTTTAATCCTGCCAATTGCTGGAGTGAAACCCATCACAAACAGGGATGTGGATGATCCTCAAGCACAAGCAGGAATTAAAGACAGAGTGATTCACATGCTACACCAGCCCGTTTCAGCAGTACAGCTGGCGTCACGTCACGGCAGCTTCTGCAAAGCTTAATGAAGCTATACTGGTGGAGGCACGTGCGAATGTCCTCAGTTCAGAGGCAGAAAGACAAACCTGCTCCTTCCGTCAACCCAGGAGCTCCTGGAGTCTGGGGAGACAGCTCCCAGGGCATTAAATACAGTATCACCACATGTAATCGCACTGCGGCAGCGCCAGCAATCCCAGGTGCTGGGAGCCATATAAACACAATGCAAGACACAGTCTCGCCCTGCTGAGCTAAAAAGAGTAGAAAGACAAAGAAAGATTTATTGCTTCTCTTTGATAGGTGGGAATTACGGGGTAAAGAGATTAAACGGCTATATTTAATCCCTGGCCACACAGCCAAGGAACAGTGTCCCGGGCTGGGAAGACTCTTGCTGGGCAAGGCTGAATCTGGGATGAGCACATGGGTATGGTCAGCTCCCGCGGGCCAGAACTGCTGAAGGGGGGAGCAGTTTTTGAGAGAGGTTTTCAAGCGATGTTCTCTGCAGCTTGGACCCGAGGCTCCATGGAGGAGCAGCCTCAGCACGGGCCTGGGGGAGGTTAGGGGCTGTGATGATCCACACACAGCTGATTCATCTCCCCTCTTGCACTCGGTGTCACTGGCAGACCCAGAGCAATCCCCATTCCAGCAGGTACCTTCAACCCGGTGATTCATCTGAGGCAGCGCAGGGAAATGTCCATGAGAAACCACATAAAAGGGCTTGAAACTGCTGTCTGAAGAGTTGCTTTTAATGAAAACCAGAAAAGGTTGTATAAGGCCTGGAAACACACATTCCCCCCCCGGAAAGTCAGTGATGAGCTTCTCAGCCACCCCCAGCAGCAAACTCTCGGACTAACGATGCCAGGGAGGGTCATTCACTCTAGCAAGCAGGCCACAATTTTTTTTATGTACAGCCCAAATTGGTAAAAAAGGCAAGTATTCCTTGGCCCCTAAGGCTTGTTGGTGACAGCTTGAAGCGATCCTAGCTGTGGTGCAGAGGAAATACTTGTGGGATCCAAATTTCATAGCCTGGGTCCACTCTGGCACCATCTTACTCCTTTTGGCTCTGCAGAAAAGACCAAGAGCCTGAACCCATGGGCACAACTACCCTTCACTCAGAACAGCCGTAAGATGCTCTGCGCTGCCTTTGCATTTACTCTGCCTCTGTGGCTCCTAGCAATCATTACACCATCGCTCTGATCCGCAGCCACTGGGAGCATCTTGGATTCTCAGGTCTCTGCTCTCACCACAGGAATCTTCTTCCTTTTCATCCTGCCCAACTCCCAGCACCTCTGGGGAGCACTGGAGCAACCCCCAGCCCCCGTATGGGTCATCACCAGGCGTTTGGAGAGAAGCACTCCCTGCTGCAACCGAGTCCTAACTCTCTGAAAGCAAAGCAGCAGGATGTTTATTGACCAGGGTGAGAAAAGCTATACCTAGGCAATAAAAGTTATTATGATAAAGGAACAGACTGTACTCTCTGCTCTCTGAACACCTTCTGACTCTTTGACAGCTTCTCACCAGAATAATGCAATAAAACTCACTTACACTGAGCATTTTCTCCTTTTTTTTTATTAGGGAATTATTTGATGCCTTTTGTCAACACCTAATTGCACTTCCGAGAATAACTGTTTGGCCAGATGCTGTGAGTACCTCAGAAGACTTTTTGGATCCCAGTCTTAGGAGACTTACACCATAAACAACTTGTAGAACACCAAAAGAATTAACAAGGTCACAAAAAAATCACGAAGTTCAGTTTTTCTCATACGTATAATACAAATGCCAGTTTGTGCCATGAACTAATATTTCCGACATCATCTGACAAAGAAACCCACCTGGTCATTCAGTTAACAAAATGAATTTAATGAAGGTCCCCAGTATTTCCCACAGAGAGATTCCCTGAGAAAGCATAAAATGATGCACTGAAATTCACACTTTGCTCATCACCTGGGTTGGCTGCTGGACCGGAGGGAGAGGGACTTGGTCCCGCACACAACACCAGAGCATCCCTCCTGATGCTCTCCGCTGCCTCCCCCTCTGTGCAGCTGGCTCTTGCAGCCGGCAGCCTGCCATGCTCCATGGTATGGAGGGAGGAATCGCTCCTGCCCTCCAGCCCTGGCAAAGCATTCCCAGGAGATGAGCTGAGAGACGCTCCTGGGCCCTCCCTTGCTTGTCCCTCAACCCTTGTTAGGAGATTCCCCCGGGCACAGAGCAGGACTCAGTGAATCCCTCCTGGCCCGGCAATAAGCCCGGTGCCACTGTGCCCCGAGGTAGAGCATTTGCTCCCTTACACAGCTCAGTGTTCTGCTTTCAAGGAGAATCTCTCCTTTTGCTCAGGACTGAGGTTTAAGGAAGAAAAAGGACCCCCCTGGAAATTGGCTATCACATTTGCAAGGCCCTTTTGTAAATCTTTGCTGCCGCCTCTTTTCTTCCCTATTTTACTTCTTGCGCCTGTCAGGGTTTGTGATCCTTCCCAGAGGCTCAAATACAATATATCTTTCCCTGTGTCTCTGCTCCCCACACCAGCCTGTTCCCCAAAGGGTGCAATGTGGGGGGACATTACTGAGCACAAGCCCAGGAATGGGGTGCACCGCAGCCAGCAGAGAGAGCCAAAGAGCACAGATTGTCCTATTTAT